TTAAATATTTAGTTTGGAACTATGACATTTATAAATGTATGAATAACATGGTGAAAATATGACTTTGAAAAAAAAACTTATTTTTTTCTTATTAAAGGCTAAATAAACCAAAATATTGCTGTTAGTTTTTGACTGTAACTTTACAAACAGCACCCCATACAGGGGCAGAGTTGTTCTGTCATGATTCCAAACACAACTTTCCCTCAAGACTGGGAATAAAATGTAGCTTTAAGAACACAAACCCTTCATTGAACCAACTTCTGTTGTTGATAAATGAAACAACCACTCAGTCCCACCCACAGCTGTCTGAGCTTGACCTTTTACTGGTTTCTGTGAACCCAGTTCAGGAATACTCATCCAACACTTTCACTTTCATCATTCAGTCACATGTTTGCTTTAATTTTTCCTCACCTTCGAAGGATTCACCACGGGATGAAGTTTTGGATTCATTTGATGTGAGGAAGCTTTAATCTGCCTCCTGATATCATTATCTATGGACTCAGTTCTGGTAGTTCCTGTCCTGATGATTGGAGAAGACTGTCTGCTGTGGAATACAAGAGTTACACTCGGCAGCGTTTGTGAGAGGATGAAACGATGTTCCACATCACAGAACGTTCCATCAGTAGATACTGTGATGGGAGACCAGTCCTCCTCTGCATCCTTTGGCAGAAACAGTTCAGAGGGAGGTGGAGGAGGAACAGAAACCTGAGAGGAGCTGCACCCCTCCCTCTGCTCTGCTGGCCAATGAGCTGGCAGCTGAGCCTCTTCTTCAGGGCTGGGAGCTATAAATAATCACAGAGCTGAGCCTGATCATCCAGGAGCCTGAGCTCTCAGATCCACAGGAGGCTCAGACACAGCCTGCAGCAGAACTTCAGCCATGAAGACCACACTGGCAGCTCTCACTCTCTGCCTCGGGCTGCTCATGACCACAGGTTTTCCTTTTGAGAGGAAAGGGGGCCCACAGACTGGTGGGGCCAAGGAGAAGCGTGCCCAGTACGCAGCCAGGGATGACGTCAATATAATCGCCCATGGGCTGCTCCAGCTGGGCCAGAACCTGAAGGAGCACGTGGACAAAACCAAAGTCCAGATGAGGGATATTTTCATCAAGCTCAAAGCCTTCAACCGCACCACAGCGGAGCTGGGGAGGGAGAGTCAGAGGCTGCAGGCGGAGGGGGAGACCCTGAAGGCTCGGGCCCTGCAGATGGAGCACAGAGAGGGTCAGCTGCTCAACATCACAGCTGAGCTCAAGGAGAAGGCAGAGGAGATCCAGCAGGAGAGGAGGACCATGGGCGAGAGGATGAGCCGGCTGGAGCAGAGGGTGGACAGCATGCTGCAGGGACACACGAGCTCCAGCTTCAGGAACAGCAGCGACACCGGCAACATCCAGGTGAGCATGAAACATCTGTGGCCTGAAGAGAATGTCCAGACAAATGAGACAGGAGCAGAGTGTAAAACATCTGTCAGGCTCCAGCTGTTCCACCTTACAGAGAGAGACAGGGTGGGTGTGCAGACCTGCTGCCAGACAAAGAGCATCAGCTGCAGCTGGTTCTCCACAGCTGCAGCTGGTTCTCCACAGCTGCAGCTGGTTCTCCACAGTTGCATCTGGTTCTCCACAGCTGCAGCTGGTTCTCCAAGGCTGCAGCTGGTTCTCCACGGCTGCAGCTGGTTCTCCACAGCTGCAGCTGGTTCTCCACAGTTGCATCTGGTTCTCCACAGCTGCAGCTGGTTCTCCACGGCTGCAGCTGGTTCTCCACGGCTGCAGCTGGTTCTCCACAGCTGCAGCTGGTTCTCCACAGCTGCAGCTCTGTGCAGACAGTGATGTGGTCTGGAAGAGGTGGAAACCAGTTGTTTGTATTTTTAGCTGAATGGTGGCTAGAAGGCCCCACGCTGTGAAGGACTTACATAACTGACCACAAAGGCTCCAGTCAGGAGAAACATGAAAGCTTGTGGCCTTTTACGCACAGAGTGGAACCACGTGCACAGGATGCTCACAGTGTGTGTGGTGTCTGCTCCTGCAGCTCCTGCTGGAGGCCCAGAGCAGACGCATCGATGAGCTGGTGGAGCGCATCAGGCTGCAGCAGGACAAGCTGGACAAGCAGAACACGCGCATCAGGACGCTGCAGCGTCAGGTGAGGCGCGTGAACCTGTCCTCCCCCCTGTTGATGCTTTGTCCTCCGTCTCACATCTGCTCTGCTCCCGTCTTCAATCCAGCTGTCAGGACAGGAGCCCCCCCCACGGAGCAACAGCACTGAGGAGCCGCAGACCTCCTTGGAGGAGCAGCGAGACACTCCTCAGGGTGAGTGACGCACCAACACACACACACGCACACACACACACACCTATGTGCACATGCACACACACAAACACACACACACACACACATACATATGTGCACATGCACACACACACACACACACGCATGCTCACACACATGCACACACACACACATCTCTCAACATACGACTTGACAAAATCTCTGTGGTGAACCATCTGCTGAGAAGCTTAAATCACAAACAATTAAAATCAATGAATCTAATCACAGAGCAACAAGCAGACTTTTAATCTGATTCCAGGAGTTTCAAAACAGAAAAGGACATATCTGTTATGTTGTATAAGTCAAGTCAAGTCAACTTTATTTATAGAGCACATTTAAAACAGAACCTGTTATCAAAGTGCTTAACAACAACAACAATCAATAAGTAAATTAAAGAGAAAAAATATATAAATATATATATACAATACACTAATAATAACTGCAGAATTAATAAAAAGCATTTAAAACATAGGGTCACAGATTAAAAAACACTAAATTAATTTACACTGTGTGAAATGCCTGAGAGAACAGATGTGTTTTAGCAGGGATTTGAAGTGAGTAAGGGAGGTGGCCTGCCTGATGTTGGGGGGCAGGTTGTTCCAGAGTTTGGGGCCCATGACTGAAAAAGCCCGATCTCCTCTGAGCTTCAGTCTTGTTTTTGGAACAGCCAAAAGCAGCTGATCAGATGATCTCAGGGCCCGAGAGGGAACGTATGGTTCCAGAAGCTCAGAGCTGTAACTTGGTGTGAGGTCATTTAAGCATTTGAAGGTCAACAGAAGAATTTTAAAGACTATCCTCGTACGAACAGGGAGCCAGTGAAGGGAGGACAGAACTGGAGTAATATATTCAGACCTATGAGTTCCAGTTAAAAGTCGAGCAGCAGCATTCTGGACAAGCTGAAGATGTGAGATGGAGGCCTGGCTGATCCCAGCATAGAGTGCGTTGCAATAGTCCAATCGGGTCGTGACAAAGGCGTGGACTAGTTTCTCAAGGTCGGGTCTGGACAACACTGGCTTGAGCTTAGCTACCTGTCTGAGTTGGAAGAAGCTTTTCTGCAGAACAGAGTTGATTTGTTTGTCAAACTTGAAGTCAGAGTCTAAAACCATCTCGAGATTTTTTACCAGACTGCTTCAGATATGGCTGAAGAGAGTCCAGGTTAACAGGATCAGAGGTGACAGTTAAGCTAGGAGTAAAAACAATGACTTCAGTGTTTTCATTGTTAAAACTTAAGAAATTTGAAGCCGTCCAGGCCTTAATGTCATCCAGACATTTTAACAGAGGGTGAATGGAGCAAACACTTTCTGGTTTCACAGGCAGGTAGATCTGACAGTGTATTACACTATAACGTATAAACATATTAAATAAAACTGAGAACTCTGAAAAAACAACAACATAAAAACAGAGATCTTTTTTAATTGTTTGTCTTGGTCTTTTTTTTTTTTTTACATTTAACTGATCAATACAGAAGAAAAACATTCAACATGTCACAATAAATCACAGAAGCGTCGTGCGGACGAGTTCTCAGTACAAGAGTTTAAAACATGAGAGTTACAACGTCTGAGTGAACGTCAGATGAACACATGTACAAGTCCAGAACTGTTCAAGTTTGATGCAAGTAAAAAGTTGCATTTGTTGAATTCTGGTGGTTCTGTTCACAGTTCTGTAGAAAAAACAGATCGTTTCATACAAAACAGAATAAAAACGTATAAATCTCTTAGCAGGACAATTCACATTGTTGCTATCGCCCAAAACACACGAAAACATCTGAAATAGAAAAATGCTACTAATAAAGTACATAATAAATACAATATGTATTAAAGTAACATGACAAGTTAAAACCACTGAATAAAATTCTGCTACTGCTTCGTTCTGTTTCTACATTTGAAGCCAATCTCCTTGTTTTAGTTTTTATTTTCAATTATTTGAAGGAGAAAATTTAAATCACCTTAAAAAAAAGTGTTGAAGCTTCATTTTACTTGTAAGAAGCGAAGAAACTTGTACATTTAAAGTCAAGTGTCTCCAAGTGAACTTGATGAAAGGCGACCAGTCTGAGGCAGCAACTGGGTGAAATGGGTCGGTTCTGGTCTCAGTAAGTTCTGACATCAGCAGCACTTGAAACGAACAAGTGTTGCTGGCAACGCTCCAACTGGGAGAAAGTTCACTGGTCTCTGGCATGTAGTCAGGGTCAAACAGCCTTACTGGATTACTCACACTGATAAGTGTGTGTGTGTGTGTGTGTGTGTGTGTGTGTGTGTGTGTGTGTGTG